TTTAGGTCTGAAGAAGCTGTTAGCACAGCGAAAGCTTACCAATATTTTGAATGAGTCCTCATCACTGATTTCCTGAAGAGCATCTAAATTTTTCGCTCTGATACGTAGCCGCCCCAAGGCGGACTTCTTTCCATGCCCCGCCTTTGGCTCCGCGCCACTTACCTTCGATTGTCCATAGAGTGTGGTTTTTGTACGTTTGTTTCTCTTCGGAAACCGAATCTTCATGCGTGAAACTTTGTGTGCTGTTTCCAGTGATCACAACTGACATATTCATGTTGGGAAAGAATGCAAGAATTTTCCGCGAAGGATTCCTTAAGTGATGAGAGTTACGATATTCTCCAACTTTCGACTGAAACCGCGATTTGGCCCCAATCTAGTGGCCTCCATAATCAATGGAGTTCACCAAAGTAGGCGTGAAATCTATTGGATCGGAATAAGCAACTATATGTTCCACATGTAGTCCTTCATTCATCAAATGGGGTGAACGGGCGGTCTTTCGCGTTCTATTTCCACCATTCCGCTAGCAGAAAGAGCTCATTGAGTTCTTTTGATTGTGAAATACTCTTCAGGGTGAATATCGCTTGAGGATTCCTCAACGGCACGTCGAGGATTCTCTGCCCGATCAGACACGATCTCTCGCGCGGACATTCACACTCGCCATGCCGTGCCGTCTGTGCTCTCCGCGCGGATGTTCACTCTCGGCACTACTCTCGCATGGTAGAGAGCTATGGTCGAGGAAATCCTCGACCGTTATTCACCCTGCTCTCACTATAACTTCCGCATACTGAACGCATGAAGACGAATATTTCACCATTGGTCTCGTTCTACAATTTTTCGCGTGATAACCAAATAATCCGCTCGATACCCACGTTTCCAGCGTTCTCTTACAACGTATGTCCTGTCTCACCGACTTTTAGCCACAGTGCCAGCGTTCGATCGCGATTTAAAGCAACAATCCAAGACGCGGACAAAAACCAGTATAATGAAAGTGTATTTGAAAAGTTGATCAATAATGAAAGAAAAAGTAAAAAAAATGTCCACAGGGACTCCCCATCTGCCGCTTTGCGATAAAGGAAGACGCATGTTGGTGAGTTGTCTGAACCTGCCGCAGCAAATCCGATCAAATTACAATTGCTGGCAACTCGCCAGTCATTGCAATTGGGGCGCAATAATGAAATCGTTTCATGTTTTGAAGGTAGAAGGTAGAAGGAAAAAATGTAGAAATCCAGCGTAGTCGGCATCACCACATTGATTGCTCAAGGACCGAGTTCAAATACTCCCTGTGGTCCCAAAACGATCACGAATGCCTCCGCAGCCAATCACGGCTGGCAAGTGGGAGTGCCCGAAGTATTTCTGACCACACCCACTCTTAAGGATTTTGACGCCCTTTTTGCGGCTTCCAGAGGTGATTTCTGTTAATATTTACACTTTCATGATTTCTCCCACTAGGGCTTACTGGCATCCCTTCAATCCCAAACAGTATGTGAATGCAACAGACCCTGCTTGGACTGGTCCGTTTATTCAGACCATCTCTTGATTTCGCCTTGTCTAGTGCATGTCTGAACTGTATTGCTATCAATTCAGAGACATCTACAACGCACCATCGGCAACGGTCGCTGATGTGGCTATAAGTGGAAAACCTGATCAAATCGTGGTTGGTGGCCTAGGACTCGGCAACACAGCCTTCGCCGGAAAAGCCGAGATCAGGCAGTGATCAAAGTTTAGCAATAAATTTTTCTGGCAGTTTGAACTAAGTACATAGATCCGTGAAGAATGGAATTCAGAGGCTCTGTTATATCTCTAGATAGTGTATTAAGCTCCTGTATACGATCAACCTGCCGATGTTGCACGCGGGGGCCTGGTACGGCTCGTGGGACCACGCCTCATTTTGGCGCGCCCAACTTTCGCTCAAAACGGAGCAAAATCGTCAATGAAAACAGTTTTTCTGCCAAATTTTTGACTTTGGCAATTATACCAAAATATAACTGCAGTTCTAGGCCTTCATAATATGTATTCTTGAAATTAGAAGTGGAAATTTGGAAAGAGAACTTGAATTTCAACGGGGCGGAAGGTAAAAACTCTAGAAGTTTATATGTACAGCAGAATTTTCGATACAGTTTTCAACCCTACATGTGCCTGAAGACTAGGGAGAGCGGAGAGATCTTGATCGGTAATTAAAGTTAGGCTTAGTAATGAAAAACGTCTGTTAATATGTCGCTGAGCTATATGCCGCATCCTGAAATTCATATAAATTGAGTTATTATCGAACATCGTTTCTGTAAAAATTGGCTCGCATAGACGTAAACGAAGCTATGCTAATTAACTGAAAATGTGAAAAATTCCAACATGACCTGCTTAAATAATAAAAGTAAGGGTGGACCACCTTGGTGCCATTGTCGCCATGCGGGCGGTGATAGTGCCCCACGGTGTGTGCATTTGGCCAAAGGGTTACATGACAATAGTACATTTGGCATTTCTTCTGCTAAATGTCAAGAAAAGATTAAATCGAATCCGTCCAGGAATACGAAATATCGAATCTCCGCATTGCCGCAAGGTTCCGACTAGTTCAATGTCGTAGCTACAGGAGACATCATAGTTGGCGATAGGCTATTAGCCGATAGTCCAAATGGAAACTATACGTATAGATTCGGCCGAGTAGCGAGTAAGCGAGCGCCGCGCCTCAGGCGATTAGGCGACTGGGCGATTTTGCACACGGCGCACTCTTAGTCGTCAAAATTGAGGCGCACATGCATATTAGCTTCTCACCCATACACTAGACTACTAGTTGGTAAAAGCAGATCTTGTCAAAGTGTTGCATACAATCCAGATATCACCTAATCGCCTACTCGCCTAATCGCCTACTCGCCTACTCGCCTACTCGCGTACTCGCCTAATCGATCCGTATACTTTCATTTGAAATCATCGCCTACTCGCTCTAATCGCACGTTACGATCGCCAACCCTATACGCTCCAAAGCTCTTTCTTTGTTTGCTCGCTTCTCTAGGAATGGAGCCAATGATTAAACAGTAGCCGTACAAACAAAGCCGTTGTGGCCCCTTCCCATCCACGTTGACACCGCATCTGAATTCTTTTGATCTGCGGTAATGAATCAGAGGTCTCAAATCCCCGTACATGCATTTGGTCTAGCAGGCTGGATAAATCGAGTTGAAGCATGCCATCGAGCGCTTCATAATTTCAAGCTCACAAATTCGTCAATACAATTATTACCCAGGAACTCACATACATCATCTGAAAGTGCTCCTTCCCCTCTACTATCGCTCTTCTGCGGAATTTTACCTTAGGATTTTCGAGCGGTTGAAATGTATCTGCCCCTTTATGTACGTCTGTAGACAAATTTTTGGATATGAAAGCCTGCCAGGTAGGACTGAGTTCGATTCTAGCTACCCCTAGATGACGGCTCTGGGTTATATTGCACTATTTACGTTCTCTACTTATAAGGATTTCTCCGAATGACGGAATCTATAAACTATTGTGGGTAGAAACTTCCATAATGTGAAATTTTTATGAAAGTAGTTCAAGTGAAGGTGGCAAAGTCGTCTGGTGAGCGATGCCGTCTGAGTTCGACCTTCTGTCATATTCCTCCATTATAAGAGTTTCTGTGAGCAGAGAACAGTGCAGCATTCTAGTTCTAACCATAAATCCGCATTCATGGTTCGCGACTGGCACGACAAGATCGGGATATACGTAGAGTAGAAATGCACTTACACAAGATTGCATACATATCGCCACCTGAAACGCCGGAAGCGTATTGCGATTGGCTGCCAGTCCTTAGGGGGGGGGAGGAATCAAGCAACAAGCCGCCGATGCAGGTGACCCCGGACTTAAGCCCAGGCTGTCATCCTATCGTGCCTACTTTCGAAAAGTTTAACGACCCTCTGCCATCACCAAACAAGTTCCTACGACCCCGCCCCCCCCTTCCGACCGCTTTAACCAAAGGAACATCTTAGCCGGGGGTAGAGGAAGGGCACATACCCCCCTCCAAACCCTACCGCAACATTTCCCTACATTCCCTGCAATTTCCCTATGTTTTACCCATATTTCACTGCTCCATTTTCTAGGGGTATATACGCACGCGCGCTGAACGGCAAATTTTCTCCCGCGCCGCTCCCCTCTCATCACATGCCACTTCTTACAACCTAAGCAAGTACGCGCCCCCCCCTACAAACTCACCAAAATATCTTTTGCCCGTTGCTCATCTTCCCCAAAGACCCTTGCCTCACCAAGGCTCAGTAACAAGCACGATAATTGGCTCACTCACTGGGATGTTCCCCCAAGAACATGAGCGCTGTGCAATAACTATGTTAGGATAGTACGATATGAAGTTAGGATAGGATTAGGATAGTAGTAGATTAGGATAGTGCGCTGACAAGATTAGATATGTATTGATCTATTCGCTTGAAGTCGCCCAATCTACTACTCTCCAGCGATTTCAATCGATACGTATCCAATCTTGTCAGCGCAATCTCCTACTCTACTACTATCCTAATATCCTATCGCCTACTATCCTAATCTCCCGAGTCGCGAACTATGAACGCGGCCTAAGACACCACGCTCGCACAGCACAGCCCTAGAGAATGAATCAAAGAATCCACGAAATAGAATAGATGATTTCAAATTGTTGTGTTATTCCCATTTACACATGCAGGAACATGCTGAGGTTATTTCATGGATACGTTAAGTTGCCAACAAACGCCAACGTGGTGGTCTCACATAAAACGACTGCTATCAGTATACCGAATATTACCAGTCAGTTCTTCAATCACTTGCAAGCAATCTCGCCCTCCTCGAGTCTCAGGTAATAAGTGTGTAATGCTCTGAATTCTGTTTTAAAAGCACACTACGAGATTGGGTGCGGGTGGTTTCGTTTGCTTTCCTTCTCTTTTCCAGATCACCTCCCACCTCTAGCTTCATAACTGAACGCTTTTCCACACCTATTTTATCCCGAATCTTGCCTTCAAGAAATAACATAAAATAAATAGTATCGAGTTTCCCAGACCTTTCTAACCATAGGTCTAGAATATTTATTCTCCGCCACACGAAGAATTTAGAATTGTTATGTTATTTTTTCGTTCCGATGACTTTGACTGACGATCGTACGTGCGATTAGGCGATCAGGGGAGTAGGCGAGTAGGCGAGTAGGCGATAAGGGAAGGATACGTATTGATTTGTTGCTCCGCCCATTGAGCGATCGCCTAATCGCCTACTCGCCTACAACGCTCTATGGGCGGAGCAAACCAATCAATACGTATGTAGTCTTCCCGCCTAATCGCCTACTCGCCTAATCTATACGTATATTTTTCATTATAGACTAATCGCCTAATCGCCTAATCGCACGTACGATCGCCAACTCTGAACGCTTCATAAGCAATGATGATTCGAGATCACACATGCGATTGGGCGATTGGGCGATTAAAGCAACAACCCCAGACGAGCTCAAGTTGCAAAGTCTGTTCTATGGATGGGACAGAGTAGCTCACGAGTATCACAGGTGTGCCGGCGTCGCGGCTTAAAAGTGTGTAACAATGGCGCTGGGTCTTACAAGGTGGTCTGACGGCGGCTAATGTGAACTTATGGACGAGTTGCCTCACACCCCCTAATATGCAACGTGGTTACAATGGTTACGACGTTGCGAATAAGGTAGCCGGTAGATAATTACAGTGTGTCACAAAAGTATAGGGATATAACACCAGACTACAAACATACAAGTGCAATCGGAAAGAAAAAATTTGCAGTTTTTATATTTTTTTCTAATGTCATGGCGACCCAAAATTATAGAGACACTCGGTTCTTCAGCACTGTTT